GTAATAAAATAATTTAAGTATCATTATATCAACACTAAAGTAGTTAGTTAGCACATTTTGTCATTGCAAAAACGATTTTTGTAATACACTTAAAAACAGCCGTCGTAAAATGAAGTTGAAACATCACGAAATATGGATTCCATGTTATAAAGTACTTTTACTACTTCGAGAGTTCTTATTAAATGTTTTTGCTTAATAACAAATTTTATAAAAATATTTAATTATGCGTATATTTCAAACACAGATGCATAGCAGATATAAGGGTTAGTGTAAAAAAGTCCATGCGTATATACGAGTATAGGTTACAATTTCAATACATTAGTATTACTATCTTGGTGATGGCTAAAGGTACGTAAAATAAGGCAAAAATGTGGACTTCAATGCTTTTTGCCAACTAGCAAAGATATTTTATAATGGTCAACTATCCGTGCTTTCAAGAAGTAGTTTGCTTTATAGTCGCGTTATAGATAGTCGTAAGAACATTCTTAGAGCAAATATACAAAACAATTTTACGACAAATTTTAATATTGTCTTATAAATCTTTACACAACCATTTTATATGACATTTAAGCTTACTGAAAAAATTTGTTTCATAATAGATTTATACTGATATTATCTGATACGAGTTTAGTCGTTTGCAGACATCAATAAAAAAAAAATTTTTAGCGCTATGTGACATTTATAAAATTAATTTATTAATATTTTCTTTCTGATATTATCGCTCGCTAAAGCATATTGTACTCAGATGGTACCTTACAAAATTATTATGTGGACATCATTAACACCGTCATGATAAAAACTATGTATACAAAATATAAAATAAAAAATGCGCCTACATTATAAAAAACAAGTAAAAATGTTGATTCATAGGATGGGTTTTATCAGGTTTTTGAAAAAGGAAGTTACGCTGCCGCACCCTGTATATGCTTGACTATTTTCAGAATACGCAGATCAATACGTTAATCAATATTATAATCAAAATGTATCACTGGGCGCAACTTTTTTTTCATGACTACGTGGGTGAGCTATGCTTCAAATAAGCATGAGCAGCCTTAGCCATAGTACAAGAGAAACAATATAGATATCTGGACTAGTCCAGTCCTAGAACTATTGTATACTACTTCTGTTCCGAGAGGAGGAGGGTAGTCTTGGCTGACTAGCTAAGATGCAAAGCGATAATTTCTTCAGGATGCAGCCATAATGTAATCAAATATCAGCCCAGAAAGAAAGTTAATCCTGTGTTCATACCAAGCTTTCGAAAATGTTCATTCTCTTCTTCAGGACGTGATTCAAGTGGTGTTGCAAAAAATCCCGACCTTTCTTTAAATAAAAAAATCGTGTTATTTTTAAGTTGTTTTTATCCATCTTTACTGTTGAACGATTTAAGAACACTGGGAAGTATATCAGAAAACGGAAATAGTCAAGCAGTTATATTAAATTAAAATATTAAATCAGTTTACCATTATTATTAATTTGATTTATCATATTGTGAGAGCCTCGGTAGCTCGGTGATCAGCGCGTCGAGTTACCCAGCTGGGGCTCTCGGGTCCTAATCTCCGTCTCGGAACTTAATTCGTTGCCAATCTTAACAGGTATATCTCATCGCTGGATATATCAATGATCAGTAGATGGCTCGTGGAGTAGTACAGTGTTGGTACGACGGGGTCGGCAAAATGGCTACGAGGTTTTCCTCTCCACCTCTACTACTACTTGCATGGACGCCCTGTTTAGCTTCTATAACCAATTGACTTTGATATAAATATATAAGACAAAAACATGTCCTGCCACGTGGGTGCCCTGCGGGCTCATGTGCAGGTTATCTAAATGAGTGAGAATTCAATTTCGTAGTTATATTACTTTTTAAATGCGAGAAGTGGGTAATGAAAGTGTTTAAAGTACAAACCTATTTTGTTCAAATACATTTATAAGGTATTCATATCGACTGGGAACTATATTATGGTATGTAATTGCAGGTACAACAGCTTACTAGGAGTAGCAGTTCTATCTCACATCTGAACTTACCACTAAACTCTCGAGAATAGTACTTCATAATCGCTATTACCTCTGAGGTCAGTCAGTAAAAAAAAAAGAAAGAAACATCTAGCTCGACCGCTGGAAACCGATAATCTGTGCTACATTAACTATAGAAAATGGAAAGTATTTTATGATAGACACAATATACACGTCTGGAAAGCCTCATACAACTGTGTTGTGTTCACTTTGCTTCTACGATATACACAAAATAAGGCAAAAAAACGTGTTCTACGTAATGAAGTGCGGTGGAATTCACTGGCTGACTGCTTACAAGCGTTCATTGAACCGTGGTCAAAACATCTGAAAACTAGCGAGTAGCAAAAGAATGAAATCGATGATGTAGCGAAAGAAAAAAAATCAAATATCTATTTGAAAAGATCTGCTGTTGACCATTTAGTGATTATGAACCCTTTCTGACGTAAGAGAATTCAAAAATGTCGAATCAATGTTTGAGGAGACTCCTTTTTTTTGGTTTAAGTCAAATACAAAAATTTAGACACCAATACGAACAATGCATCACTCGATATCATCTGTAAGGATATATTTTTGATCCGACAAAACCACAACATCTATTAGCAGACGAAAAAAGCTGTGCTTTGAAAGCCGCAAAATAATTACTTACCAGTGTGTCCTTGCCACGAATAATTCAATTCCTGGCAAAACTAGATCCTTTTAGCGACATAAGGTTTGACGAACAAATCCTCAAAACTTCAAAAGCTTTAAAATGGTGGAAAACCCAACAAAATGGCGATGCTGCTCAAAAAGTACTGCCCACCAATAAACAACTGTTATCTGCTACAGCTTCTTCAACATCTGTGGAAAGGCTGTTTTTGACATTTGGTTTGGTAGATTTCAAGCTTCAAAATCGCATGGAAACAGAGAAAGCCGCTAAATTAGTTTTCCTGTACTAGTATTACAATTTATTTCCTAAGCACATAATTTGTTTTTATGTTTTTCTGTAGGTTAGCCAGAGTAACGTTTTTGTTCAATGTGCATATTATAGTACCACTAATGTATTCGTTAATAATTTTTATTTGTTATTATTTATACATGTAGGTAATATTACAAACTATAAACTGTTTCTGTTGTAAAATGTGCTGTTATAAGTTTAATTTATGAATATTTACGTTTGACTGATGAGGATTAGTTATGTTTTTAAACTTACATAATGTAAAATCTTATTTTTGAATAAATTCTTTTATTTATATCCTGATGCGTTATTTTAGCTTCGGCGACTTATTGCTTTTGCAGCAGTTTAATTTTAATCACGATTGAAATTGAAAAAATCATTGATTTAAATCATTTGGCTACAAGAATATTCAAAGCTATTTACAAGGTCAAGTACTCTTGCAAGATAAGCAATCTCAAAAACCTAAGAAAAAACATCAATAAACGTACATCAAATGCACAGATCACAATAAACAAAACTGATTATTGTTAGACACTATGAGTGAATTTTTTTTAACTTTTATTTTATTTCCATAAATTATTGAAAACCTAAGATACAGATTTTACAACGACCTGCCGGCTTAAATAGTAAGCATATTAGGTTTGCAATAATTGTTCCATCCATCAGTATGCAAACAAAATAATAATTTTTCACTCATGTAGCCAAACAACGATCAGTTTTGTATATTTTGATATTGTTAGTTTGTTGATAGTTTTTCTCCGTTTTCTTTTTTTGACTGGTTGTCCTAAACGAGGATTTCGACGTAGTAAGTAATTTTTTATTGATATTTCAATGGCATTGGCTCCCTTAAGAATGTTTACCTTCTGTTATCGACTTCTAAGCTGCAGGTTTTGTTAAGCTAAGGTTTGCATGCATGTTGATAAGTAACCCTAGAATAAAAGTATCGTAAATGCCTTCAGAAAGAAAGTAACAAATTATAACAAATTTGCAAGTTATTAATTAATTATTAACAGACAGCCCCGTTCGAATGATCGTTTCAAGGAGGCTAGTGAAGAAAGGACTTTCTAATAAAAACAGGATACAGGTACAACAAGTAAGACAGTGGGTAGACTTATGGTAGTGTATTCAACGTTTTTCTCGGTGGAATAGTGTCATTCTTGTTTTAAGCAATTTTATGCTGGAATTGGCCGTAATTACAAGGACGCATGCATTCCTGAACGGAAATTTAAGTTCAAAAATTCATAAAAAGATGTATTTTAAAAAATATGGATTTCAATATACAGTTTTATAAAAAATTTTGTTTTTTGTTAGCACCTGAAAAATCCTGGTGCCCATTATCTGGAATTTTAGAAGTGTTGTACATTGCAATAAGACACTAAGGCCCGTATCGTCAGTCGTCCCTACAATTGTAGGGCGCGTATTGATTGTCATACTCTTTTCTCTCCTTCAAACATTTCTAGATTACACTCGTCCCGTGTCAGCGTCAGCGCTCTCCTTTTGTCAAGATATGTTTTCCTTTTAAATTGTAGGAAATTTCAGGCTGATAAAACATGATAAAACTCTAAAGCAAGCACAATTTGATGCAAATAGATGTTTGTGACATAACCTCAAAATAGAGCGCTGACACGGAGATGTAGAAAACTATGACAATCAAGGAGGCCATAAAGGCGCCCTACAATTGTAGGGACGACTGACGATACGGGCCTAAGTTAACTATGGATAGAAGAGAATTATGTGGCGTATCAAGGGGCAGTGTCACAGACAATATTAACAAAAGAATGTACGCCACTGACCTTTTAAAAATAAATGTTATTCTAGATCAAGCAACTGATGGTACCACCTCGTATTTTACTTCATTTTTGAGGAAAAGAATAACTTATAACATGTCCAAAAATTGTGAAAATTTAAAAGTACAGAAGCGGTAGGTGGTCATTTTTTTGTAAATAATTTGTTATACAGTTTTTACTTTCGGATCATTGCATTTTAAAAATGACATATAAATGAATATTGCATATCGAATAATTTAAATTGATAATTTATTAATTTTTCGATATGTCATGAAATTATTTTTATTCTTTTCCTCAAAAACGAAGAAGGATACGAAGCGATACCGGGAGGCAAAAAGTTGTATTTTCATCTGCATAATTCGAAAAAATATGTATTTTTTAAAAGGTAAGTGGCGTACATTTTCAGTTAGTATTATTCTTGGTACTGTTAAACGAGGCGCCATTGGAATTCATAAATAATTTTCTCCTAGTTAATACAAACTTAGCGTCTTGTAGTATGGTTAGATCATACTGTATAATATATTCTTATTAGAAACTTGTTAGGTATTGCAAGTAATATAATTCACCGGAAATGCTGCGCTAGGCAGAGGAATGACCGAGGTACCTTGCGATACCTATCAATATATACATTTTTAGACAGAATAAAGTTAATCATCCTGTAATCAAGTTGTGTTACTAACGGCGCAAAAGCCCGAAATAGATATATCTATTACAGTCTCAGTACAATAAATAACACTGCCAAAATTTAACAAAATCGGTACTAGGATGTTTTTATTTTGAACTTTGAGTCCATGAATCTTGGAAACCTTACATTTTAGGACACAGACGTTTATATGCTTAAATTGGGTTCAGGAATGCGCGATTGTAATTATGGCATATCGTTGACTAACACCCTGTCTAATCTAAATCAATTCAACACTATCAGTGTTTCCAAATATTTTTTTAATTTTAGAGTAGGGAGTCACTGACACCCAAAGTGTAATCATTGGGCGTATCAATCATTTTTTAAAACGATCATTCATGCGACAAGAGCACAAAACCAAAAACATATCATCTGACAAATAGTTTGAGGTCCTTTATATTAACAAAATTTTACTTAAACAAAACAGGTACACTTTTCCACCATTATACATACGTGTAATCTCCCTAAGCTACCACGAGAGTACCTTTTAACTTTTGCAAACCCTAAATTCGACCATCAATACTCATTATTTCATATTCATGTTAGAATACGTTGGACACAAGCTGGAGTCATCAATATCGGATACAATTCTCGCCCTTTCTATCAAAGTAAGAGAGTATTGGCCATCCTTCGTCGTCTTCTCAGGGCCCCTTAGGGCGTTCTTTCTTATGAAGTCCACAACTAGCTCCCCCGCTACTTTAGACATCTCTAGACGGTGACCCCACGTAACCAGCGCCAAAGGCTAAAAAAATATTGCAATTTTACATTGTTACAACATTGCAAACAGCTTCTTAGTAATTTTGAAAAAATCTATTATCGTAAAGAAAAAGCGTGGGGTGCTTGATATTAAATTCAGTTACCATTTAGAAAAATAAAAGTATTATGCAGATGCATCTGATTGCACCCCATGCTTTTCTACTATAATTGAATCCTTTGAAAAATGTTCTACTTTTTAGATCGATTTGTTATTAAAGCGTATTTTTTAAAATATAGTTTATTTACTGAAAGTTTTGTCTAAAAACGACAACAAACGCGCTTTAATAATGATTTTTTTGAAATTTTCCATTTATATTCCGAAATTACCAATTTTTAAATCCAAATTCAATTATGTTTCATTTGTCAAATTTCGAAATTTTTATTTTTTTGTGAATTACCAAATTGTTTTCAAAATTTCTAAAGCTTGAATTGATTTTGCAAATTTCCGAATTTTCCAATTATTTTACAAATCTTCAGGCAGCAGCGGTGGCCGCAGTAGTAGACTCTTCGATCGCCGTGCGCTGTGCGAGTTCGAATTCCGTCCCAAGAGAAATGTTTCTCTTGGCTATGAATGTTGTAATTGTCCGTAGGTGGTAGACGGTCTCTGACTGTCGAACGCAGAGGTACGACCCGGCGGATCTCGTAGGCGGGGCCAGAATGTGTCCATGTTGCATGCACACGTGTTCTCTCGCCAGAGTCCGTGTGGCGTTCCCCCTTTCCCCTGTATCCCCCTATAGCCCCACGGTACCACATGGGTATTTAGCCCTTAGGCCTTCGTGGTGGTTGGAGAATAAAAAAAAATCTGAATATTATTTCCATTTTTTTTTTAATTTTCAAAGTTGAAGAATATTATTTGGTCTTGTCATCGGACAATACTATTGTATTGTCATGAGCCCTAGACGCCTGTGCAAATTTTCAGCTTAATCAAATTGGTGAAAATTAGGTTGAAAGATTCCGATACATACATACATAAAGGTAAACTAATAAAACCGTGTTCAAAATGGCGTAGAGCAGGCTGGCCCAGTTCATAAAGGACTTACAACGCAATCCTGGCATGCTAATGCAACGGCTTTTACTGTGGAAAATCGAACAACTGGAGAATAATCTTTTCTGACATAAACAAATGACAATATTTAAACTGAAATGTCATATTACTCCCAATGTCAGAGGCAGTTACTAAGGAGATTTTGTAGCACATGTTTCATGCAGCAATTTGTGTAACATACATTTGTTATTTTCAAGCTGAAATTTGGGGTGAGGAAATTTATGCATGAATACCATTGTAACACCATGTATAGAGTGATATGACACAGACAGCTAGTGTACAAAGTTTGCTATTTAAAAAAAACACTCGGATATAGGATCATGTTGGACCATCTGAGAAAAAAGTTGGCTACGAGCATGTAAAACAGAAAAAATAAACAGAACAAGCTAGTGAAACAGGCCCATACAATAAAGTAGTCCATAGACATATTTTCCCTGCACTACCGTTAGTACCGTCTATCTGGCAACGTCGCCCCTCTCCCGATACCAGCGCCACCTTCAACTAACCCGATACATTACCGCTCGATGAATGTACCTGCCTCTGAAATGTCACAAATGAAGTTGGACAGAATTTTTTTTCGCTTTTTGCCCTAAGCTCTGTCGCCAGTGAATCGATGTTCAAAAACTACAAAGCTCTGTCGTCCTTAGCACAGTGCCAATCTTGAGTGGAAACGTTAGCAAAATCCGAGTAGTATTTTCCAAGTTACAGACGGGCCAAGGATTAGCCGACAGATTGACAGACAGACCGACAGAAATAAGTGACATGGTTTTCCGTGATGTACATGTCATGTAACATCCAAAAAATCTTATCACATTTTCGCCAGTAACGTAGGAAGTAAAAATATTGTCGAGGTATTATGGACGCTTGAGGATGGAGAAAATACTTAAAAATAAACAAAAGCGCTCACCAAAACTCATCAATAAACTGTTGTCATAAATTTCGAATTTGAAGTTCATGCGCTAGACTCTAGCGGATCATATTTGCCGTTTGACTGACGTCTCGTCGTTGACATTTGACAATGATAGATTTTCGAGATGACACGGTTATTACTAATGCTATTAATAATACAGTGAATACAAAATATTATGGTTTGATCATAGTTTTGCCTTAAGTAGTTTTGAAAAATTTTAAAACCTGGGCGGTTTTTGAAATATCGGTATCGGCACATCGGCCGATTATCAGTATCGGAAAGAATCCCGTATCAGACGATCTCACGAATACATTATACAGCATTAATAGGCTACTTTGAATAGAATAAATGAGCATTTCTTTAAAAAAGTATATTTTTCACTTTTAATACAAAACGGTTAAAACACTATCGGTCGTGATGTGACGTTATACAAGTTGTTACCAAAGAAACGTCATCCGTATGTCAGCATTAAAAAAAACAATCACGAACGTTGAATACGTAAAAGCAGAAAGCACAAATTTACCGAAAATTGACACGTGGTTGGTATTTTTTGTGCCTTCAACCCAGATAGAAGAATAAGTAATACACTTACACAATCTTTCTTTTCAGAAGTCATTCAAAACTAAGTTCATGCGTCATAATCTGAGAATAATTTTATCTAATATATTTCTTCTTACACATCTGTAAGACAATCATACGGTGATGATGGTGTAGGTTACGTCCTACGTAAACGAGACGAAATGTAAACTATGTCCCGAACATAAGGTATGCTCCAAGCAATGTGTATTGCTGCGTATATTTATTTCCCTGGGCACCCTAATCCACAGCTTTCCTGGAGTCTTTATCGATGTGTTTTTACATTCTCGGTCGATACAATAACGATTATTACTATATTTCTCATGTAAACTAGTAAGAGTCATGTTCATATGTTTAACAGTTTGAGAGGTTATGTTGCTGTCAGCTGCTGTTTACAAATGGAATGACACCAGAACACATTATTATGGGCCAAACATAGCGGACATCGTTTTCGCCTTTGTAAGAAAAATAATTTTTGGATTAAAGTTTTAGGGTCTTTTAGGTATGAAAAAAGTGTCTATTTCAATACTTAATAATTTTATAAATGAATTTACCCTTTCAACAGTCAGCTGATCATAGGGAGTAATGACATGCTTGTAGAGGCAGCTCTTGACCATTTTCTTGAGAAAATTGACTTGGTTCTTGTTGGCACATGGATGGTAGAGCATTACAACTGCACCATGCTCCAGGTTATGCAACCATCGTTGTATCGGCACAAATGTGTATTCGCCGTAGATTGCCCACAGAGGTCTGTGTGTTCCACTGTAACAAGAATACTACATGAGTAGGAAAACAAAAATGTCTAAGGTCGAGTCTAAAATCTGCACTTTCAAAATTAAGAGTAACCATAGTTGAGCCTTAACTGCCAAAATGGCAATCAGAAAAAGCACATTATTGTTCTTTTCTTTTAGAAATATCTGCAGCATAGTGCCGTACTTACAAAAAGAAAGTAAACTTCATTCACTGCCTTTTTTTAACACGCTTGTATTAGCTTTGACCAGTAAACGTATTACGGAATCTTTCAACCTGATTTTAATCAATTTTAAAAAGTCTGATTAACTCGAAAATTTGCATAAGATTCAAATGCCGATGAAAATAGAATAGTCTTGGAAAAAAAATCGAATCTGATAATTTCAAAATATTTGAATTTTGAGATTTGGAAAAGAAATTGCATATGAAAATTTGGAAAATAATCAGACAATTCTGAAAGTAAACGCAGATTTAGAAATTTACAATTAAACTAAAAATTTTACAAAAAAATTAACATTGTAAAATTTGTAAAATAATTGGAAGTAAATTTAGACTAATTGTCAAATATAAAATATACAAAAAAACTGCACGCAAGGCCACTTTGGAGTAAAAACAAACTAAAAACAGCAGCATATGTTTACTGCCTTTTACCTAAGTATGGCAGCATAGACAAACAGTACCCATATTTTTATAATTTGTTAACGAATCTTTTTAAGGTTTTTAATAGTATTATTTTTTGGCGCCCAAAATATGTTACCTATGTATTCAGTAAACAACAAAAGCGAAATGTCCTATAATTTTGTACTGACTCCAAAACTATTAAAGATGAAATCAAACTTACAAAGTTGGAATAGGTTCACCATACTCAATAGATTCATTCATACATTTGTGAGGGGCCTGGAAAAAAATATATAGATTTACTTATGTCTATATAATTGTAAAGAATATTTTTCTTACGCTATACTCCGGAGGAATATGATCTGTACTATGTATAGGATGCACTGTGCTTTTTGGAAGATACAGACGTCTATTTTCATAGCATGTGTAGTTTTCAGGATTCATGAACCAGTCTATAGCTAGATTAGTCTGGAAATAAAAAAAGCAGTAGTTTTCAATAAAAAGAAAGTATGTAACTGTGGTTTTCATGTTGATAATCCCCGCATTGCCAAAAAAGTGTCAATTGTACTTGAAGAAGGTCACAGATGGTACCTAAGCGTCGTACAATCAAGAGGAATTTTAAACATACGTTGTTTGATCCGGCTAGACCAACATGGGGTTAGGTCAGAGTATATAAAAAACTACGCTGTTGCGCGGTCGAAGTACATATGATTCCACATTAGATCATTCATCACGGTCGGTGCATGACGCCAGCAGGACTCCGGCCGATAGGTAGTAGGTACGCGATCGGCACGGGTATCACGTATCTTGAAAAGTGCCATTATGCCGATTTCTTTTTGACATTATGCTAGTTTTTTTTACATTATGTAGGTTTTTCTACAAGATGTTATCTTAGCACTTAGTTGTACGTATTGCCTAATTTCCTGGCCAGTAACAAGAAGGAATTGACTTCAGGCCAATTTTGCTCCAGAATCTCTTTAAAAAAGGTTAAAAAATAACATTACAGCCGACCTAAATCTTATTTATACTTCTCCCTTAAAAAAAGGACATGACTACTACAGGGTAGTACCACTCGTTAAACTTATTAACGTAACTGCAAAATGTCAGGGACAGCGATCTGATCGCCATAATTGTCACTTTGGAACTAGGTAAATGTGTTGCCTAAATGTCAAGATACTTGAGCTATGTGCTGTGGCTGTGTTGTGATGTAACATCTGCTTCAGAGTTGACACTATAACCTATTTATCCAAGAAAGACATCAAACTAAAACTATAACCAGCGCCTGATCAGCACATTGATTTCAATCAATCAAGAATTTCATAACTGTTATTGGGCAGAATCGGTAAAGCCCATATACAGGTTAGGTTAGTTTTTTTTTTGAGTGGGTCAATTCGTGATCCTCCACTGCGACACACTGGTCTACTGTGGCTAGGTCTTATCTGGACGTTGTAGAGACTGGGGAGGTCATGTAGAGAAAAGTACTTCCTAGCCCTAAACAAAGAGCTTAGCTTTTTCCCAGCAGTTGCCCTTACTGACAAGATGTGTTCGTGCCACATGAAGTCCTCGGTGATCTGGTTTCCGACTAGCCGAAATTAACGGCTGTTTTCTGTGTCTTGGAAGCATTAAGCTGTACAAGATTGTTCCGTCTCCAAGCCGTGCCAACCTCCAGGTCTCTCATCAGACCTGCTAGTTTTCTTTTCTCCAGCTCACTGGCAGAGATCGGCTTGCCACTCCGAATTCCTGCATGTAGAGTGCTTTCATCAGCAAAACTGTGGATTGGATAAATTGTGCAGGAAAGGAGGTCGTTGATATGTAAGAGGAACGATGTCGGAGCCAATACCGATCCCTGGGGAACACCTGCGTTGACGTTGTGGGATGAAGAGGAGAACCAGTCAATTACGACAGATACCTTGCGAGCAGAGAGCAAGTCTGCGAAGCTTCTCTGGGAGGCCATAAGATGGGAGTTTGCATAGGAGGGCAGCATGCCACGTCTGATCAAAAGCATTCTTGATATCAAGAGCAACGACACGAGCCTCACCATAACTTACGCCGCAGTTACGAGACGTAAGCTGGGAGGTCCCCTGTGGATCGCTGGAGCCGGAAACCATACTGCCTGTCGCTAGTCAAGCCGTGACGTTCGAGGTACTCCAGAAGTTCCCGATTTATGCACCTCTCCAACTCCTTACTCATAAAAGAAAGCATAGCTGTAGGCTTGTAGTTGTAAGAACATACGCAAATTTTCAGTTTTCTGGAAAAGTGCCGGATTCGTAAGATATGTGGAAGAGATGCGAAAGAACTGGAGTAAGCTTCGCTGCATATCTCTTCAATGCAACGGCATAAGCTTTGTTGCTGTTGAGCGGCAAGAGCACCCGTCTTACGGTCTTATGCCTGAATGTTATTTCCCGCATAGTACAGGGAACCCTTTGAATCGACGGACTGGGGCGTTGGGGGGACGTTCGTGGGGAGCACCCAAGTGACAAGCACTCTGGGTTTTCGATACCCGACACGAGTTTCTCTATGTTAGCATCTTCAAGGATCCAACATCACATCTGAAAAGTATATTCTTTTAAATCAATTGTTGTGTTTCCGCTCATTAAGTGAAGAAAACAGTGATATACAAAAACGATGTAGATGTAATATTTACCTTTGCATCATCACAAGCAGGATCTACTATGCCCATTGATATTCCATGTTTCCCATCATGCAGTAGATGATTTCTCAGAGATGCAGCAGGATTTGAATCCATATCATCCGGTGCATGAGGAAACCATTTTCCATTCCAATATCCATTAGACATACGTGTCCCTACAAATAATAGGAATAGATCAAAGTTGTCTTGACATTCAATATTTGAAAATTATTGCTATTACTGCAGTGTGTTCTCTTTTGTAATTTCAATTTTTAATGAAACGGCCAAGCATTTCAAGTCATATTTGAGCTGAGGTAATGAAATTAGAATTGATATTGTTCCACAAAGGTGCGAACATACCAGCCAATCCTCGATATGCAGAATTCTAAGATTTAGAATGAGCAACAGAAATCTGATGTGTTGTCTAGCGGAACTAGTATTAAAATAAAATAAAACAAATGCCGCGTAAACTAACAAAAATATGACATCCCTCAGGGATATCTATATAAATATAAATAAAATAAACGATTCTATTCAGGGCTGTCATAAATATTTCTGGAGATTCTCCTATTGGTTGCAGTTACCACATCGTGAATAATGCCAAAATTCAGCTAAAAACAGACGAAAAACCAACACATAAAATGAAGAAAATAAATTTTCATACAGCTGATTATGAGAGGATAAATAATATTTTGCAACAACAACTCACCGTGAAGCATACGAGCAGATTGAGCAGACAGTTGCTGACATAATTGTTGTACAAAGGCCAATGAAGACAGTAAGTGTAAATAATCAGAAGCAGTGGATTACTTCAAAAATATCAAGGAAATTGATGCCAAACTGAATCTGTTGGGAGAATACCGGAAGGAAAGAAACACAGCAAGCTACATGGTTTATGAAAACCAGAATAATAAAGAAAAAGTTTAATAAAAGAAGCTCGTATCGAGTATGAAAAAAATTTGCTTACATCAGAGAAAAATGTCTATACTTATATTAAAAGTGTATTAAATTCTAAGGTATCATTCCTCACACTGAAGGGCGGTGACGCTATTATAATTGATGTGAAGCAAACATCTCTCGCAAAGCAGTTCAACAAGGTTTTCACCAAGTCACAGCAAGATAATGTTCTTTCCTTGCCTTTTCACTCCCGGTGCTCAGAATCACTTACCTCCATTCAGTTTACACCAGAAAAAGTAATACAAGCTATTAAGTCTCCAAACCAAGATTCAAGCAAGGGTTGTAAAATTATTCCATCAATATTTGCCAGAAAACGACAGACCTATAAGCTTTACTTGTAAGCCTTGTAAACTCATGGAAAAAATCATAACGCGGGAAATCAGACATATCTGACACATAGCACGGCTTTTTACCTGGAAGATATATGATTACCAGCTTGCTCTCTGCTTCACAACATTGGACAACTATGGATGACCAAGAAAATGCCATAGATATGATATATCTTGATTAAGAAAAGCTTGATAAACATCTGATTTATAAACTTGAGAGATTTTTGTGCACGAGTTAAGCTTTTAGGTTGGATAAAATCACTTCCTATGGACAGAACCTTCCAAGTAAGAGCAAATGGGGTGCTAAGTGACCCACACCCAGTGCTTAGTGGTGTTCCACAAGGCTCTGTACTTGGACCTCTTCTATTCCGTGCTAACACGTCAGATCTATCAATGGGTATTAAAACAAACATTTCATTCCATGCAGCATGATAGCAAGCTATTTGTAAACCCAGTATTACACGAGATCGAAATTAAAAAGGGCATCCTCGCTATCGAGGAATGGCCTAAGAAATGGCAAATGTCACTCAATTCAGAAAAGTGCATGATACTTCATATTGAGAATACAAATCCCCATATAAACTACAGTACAGGGCGGGTAGAAATTGAGACTGTACAGTACCAGAAAGACCTAGGAGTTATAATAGCACATAATTTAAAATGGGAAGCTCACATTAGCAACAAAATTAAAAAGGTCAACTCACTGATATATTTATATTTGATTGAAAATGCTGTGAAAAACCATTCTCCTGCTGAAGCTATACAAGATGTACATTCAACCAAAACTTGAACATGCACACAGCATATGGAGTCCCTACTTTGTCAAAGACATTGAACTACTGGAAAGATTGCAACATAAATAGCGCGAATTCCACCAGAGATTGGGCATTTGCCATATGAACAGCGTCTAAGGGCTATAAATTTGACAACACTCGCTGAGTGAAGATTATGAGGGTACCTGATTCAGACATTCAAGATAATCAGTGGCTGCTAAGGATGTACTCTTCAAATATTCAATATGAGTCAGAATCTTCATCTCCAAGGCAATACCAAAAAATTAGAAAAATAGAGAACATCTAAGTTGATAAAGAGAAATTTAATTTTAAATCGTGTGGGTGCAACAACTGAACTAGAAGACAGAACAGCATGTTTTGCGTATAATCCAGCATAAAAAGAAGAATTTACACAACAGTATCAACAGATTTTTACGCCTACTGTTGTAGTGCTAATAAAAATAATAATTCAGTCTTTTGGACCACTTATGTTAATGACAAGTCAAACTATCATAAAAAGGTTTGTATATCTCTGGGACCTTATCAGTCTCGACATGAACTTTTCAGTTATTATAAAGTATATTTCCTGCAAAATGATATTTCAATGTTTACACTAGAATTGTAATTGATGCAACAAATACATCAGCATACTAAAATTTCCCTGTAGGAACATTATAACTGCAGTCCTGCAGTATATCACGAGCAAAACTATTGTGAGGGACCCGCTAATACTGTGTCAGGAGTAATACTTTTTGTATGACACGTTACAATAACAGGATTTAGTAAAACAGTAACGATCTTTACCATGATACAACTGTTATTTTTCTGACGATTGCAGTTACAATAATATTTAAAATGCATTTTTTCATATTTCCACTGACAAAAGTTAATGTATTGAAATTTTAAGCAAATCACTCATATCAAGTAAACAGTGTTACTCTTTCAATTGTACAGTTAGATATACGTACCTTGAGCATTTAGGACCGCTATGCATAGGAGTACTATGTTCTTCAACATTAGGACTAGGGGGCCTAATAATATAACCAAAATTATCAAATGAACAAAAGTAAAATTGCGGAAGATTCGACGTAACGTTGCTGATATTTTTATATTCCTGTATAGCAGAAATAAGTTATATATTCTTTATCTAATGGACAATCGATAGTTGTATGTATTTCAGTCTATTAAAAGCCGTTCAAATGGAAAATCTCGAAGTTTCATAGTTTGACATCTGCACAGCTGTTTGGGTTTGGATTGATTTACATTTTGGACAAAATTGCAAATTGTAGCTACCCAAAAATCAGTTCATGCTTCATCTAACAGGCACCAGATGGAAGCACGACTGAAAGCCTCAGGTAATAATTCTTGTTTTCAGATATCCCCACTCCCCAGACCCGAGCTTTTACAATGAAATTTTCATGTAAACCAGACGCTACTTTTTCAGTTAGGTTAATACACATAATTTTATCAGTTAGACAAATAACAATTTTTCATTGTTCCATAATTCTATTGGTCGCTACCTGTTGTCTATTTTCTAACCTACAGATTTGTGGTAAGGTTTCAAAATAGATCTCTTCAACTGCGTGAGCTGGTAATAAAGCAGCCTGTATCAAAAAGATGGTTTCCAAAACTTATTTCGTGTGAAGCACAACAGATGACAGCAGTATTGAAAAACGATTTTAAGCTTCTGTTTCGAACTGTCCCAGAAAGTAATTCAATAATTACAATGTAAATTGCCTCAAAATTGTGACCTAGTTAGGGAATTACCCAACAAACAAGTAAAAAGAATTGGAAGTTGGTGATTTATTGCACAGCGCCACCTACCCCTTGCTAACTTAACTAAGGGACTATGTTACGGTTGTTACCATAGATATCTTTAACAACAAGTAAGAGACAGCCTCGTTCGAAAATCTCGTAAAAGATGTGGACAGTCCACAACAGCAGCATTGCCACATCCATTAGAATTTCTCAAAGTTGAGATTTTGCCAACGCTCTCGCAGTGATACGCCAAACTGCAATAATTAATTCATTTATCAGCAAAGGCAATCATTACGGTAGGGTTCGCAGGGTATTTGAGGCTAAGATATTGCCTTTACTAATACTTTCTTTTTCACGAGTATCCATTACGGTACAATGACAACTGATTATCTAGTAATATTTGAAAATTCCCGATAACGTAAAAGACACATAATTCTGACGGATACGTCAACGCCAGGTAGACAGATCCGTATTTATATATATTTTGTACTTGCTATTAACTCTTATATTTAGAAAAGTCCATTTGAATACAAAAAAACTATCTGCAAGCAAGTTTTACTAAATTTACACCGGATTCATTATTGAACAGACTAATACCTGTGCTAATACAAAAATCTCACCTGCTGATCAGCTGTTCAACTCAGTAGACGTCAAAACGTGACGGTTACTCGTGAAATAGGATTTACAACCTGAATCTGGCCTGGAAGTATTCCCAGAGTAGAGTTCGGGCGTTCGCCAACTTGTAATCTTAGAAAAATGACTGTCATTTGTGTTGTCTAGGATGGTGAGCCGTTAGTCGATCAATACTACTTGCAGTAATAAATATATATTCCAACCATCTTAAGTAACAAACAAATATAACGTCTTATTGCGCTGCGTTGAATCGGTTGAAAGCCTTGGCGTCTTGGCGTCGTGTCATCTTCCCCCAGCCACCGTCGATCTGCCGGTCAGCAGCGACAGACATAGAGTGGGACTGCACGGCCATCCTGACGTCACGTTCGTCCCGAACGTCATTGAGGGCGTAACAGTTGCCATCGAGAGCTGAACAGATGCCATTGAGGGCGTAACATTTGCCATTGAGAGCAGAACAATGCCATTGAGGGCGTAACATTTGCCATTGAGAGCAGAACAGATGCCATTGAGGGCGTAACATTTGCCATTGAGAGCAGAACAGATGCCATTGAGGGCGTAACATTTGCCATTGAGAGCAGAACAATGCCATTGAGGGCGTAACATTTGCCATTGAGAGCAGAACAGATGCCATTGAGGGCGTAACATTTGCCATTGAGAGCAGAACAGATGCCATTGAGGGCGTAACATTTGCCATTGAGAGCAGAACAGATGCCATTGAGGGCGTAACATTTGCCATTGAGAGCAGAACAGATGCCATTGAGGGCGTAACATTTGCCATTGAGAGCAGAACAGATGCCATTGAGGGCGTAACATTTGAGTAGTTCATTACTCACCTTATTGATTTTGAACTTTGAAGGGTTTCATGTGTTCCACACCTACCACAGCTTGATATGGTCGTCTTGACCTCTGTGTGAAACGATCTTCTTGCACTCTATACCTGTCATTGGGTAGAACCTCAACTATCTTGAATGGTCCTCTAAACTTAGGACGTAACTTTTTACTGTCTTCATTCGCTGAAAAGCTGGTTACTTTAGTTAATACCACATCTCCCACCTGGTACAACCTAGGTAGAGAACGTTTAGTGTTAAATTTTAAATCTTGTTCGATTCTATTGTGTTCCAGACGTTTGGCTGTCTCTTTTCGGATTTTTGTAACATCTAGAGTTGTTTCCATATCGTCATCAGGGTATTTGTCACTATCAGTCCGTAGTTGGAAACCAAACATTACTTCTGCGGGCGTGTTTTGTGTAATACGGTGTCTAGTACTATTCAGTCCTTGTTGTATATGTGAAAGATTAGTATCCCAATTGTCTTCACTTGTTTGCGAACCAGATGTTGCTAAAGCGTCTAGAACTGTTCTGTTCGTCCGCTCACATTGATCATTGCCTCTTGGGAGACCAACAGCTGTTGTAAATAACCGTATCCCTCTTGCAGCAACAAATTCCTCGAAGGCCTTTGAAGTAAACGCAGATCCAAGATCCGTGATGAGTCGTCTTGGGTTATCGAGCATCGCGAACATTTCAGTTAACATTTGAATTACGTATTTTGCAGATGTATCAGGAACTGCTTTTAAATACACAAATTTCGAAAAGCCATCAACAACAACTATTAAATACTTGTTTCCCTGTTTTGTGTTCACAAAAGGTCCTAAATGATCTATATGTAGTGTGTGGTGTGGTCTAGCATACTTTGGGATGGAGTGAAGGTACCCGGGTCTTTTGCCCCCTTTATCTTTATGATATAAACAAGGTAAACATGCATTTATGTATTTTGTTATGAAATGCCTCATTCTGGGAAACCAATACCGTTGCTTAATTTTCTCTAACGTTTTATCAACCGCAAAATGACCTATATCGTCATGGTTTGCTTTGACGATTTGCCATCTACACTTCTTTGGGACTACCCATCTTCTCCCATAAGGTGTTAACTTATAGACTTTGTTCCCCCTTAAATCGTAATTATTAAAAACATCTTTGTGACTCTGAACATCCCCACTTAAAAGAATATTTTTAATTTCCACTATGGATTCATCTTGATCCTGTGCTTCCCTGAGATAGTCATCTTCTTGGATGAGTAGGACTTGTGCTTTGTTTTGAGATTCATTAAAGTTTCGGCTAAGTGCGTCTACATGTTGCATCTGAGTACCTGCTTTATGGTGAATGGTAAAAGAAAACTCTTGTAAAGACAAGACCCATCTAGCAATTCTTGGAATTATCGACTGCTTAGATAATGCGTTCTTTACCGCATTGCAATCAGTAAAAATTTGGAACTGATAGCCTACTAAATAAAATCTGAACCGTTCCAAAGTTTTGACTATTGCTAATAGTTCCAACTCAAAAGAATGATAATTTTTCTCAGCGGTATTAGTTTGCCTACTGAAATACGCTATTGGTCTCTCTTTACCATCTGTACTTTGCATCAAAATTCCTGCAAAACCATCACGACTAGCATCCGTATATACGGTTGTCAGTGCTTTTGGATTAAATATTGCCAAAATAGGTTCTGCACAAATTTTGGCTTTTAAATCTTTGACTATTTGTGTGTGAACTTCTGTCCAAGACCACCGACTTCCTTTCTTTAATAGCTTCGTCAATGGGGCGGTAATTCGCGCAAAATCTTTTAAGAACTTCCGAAAATAGCCGACGAGACCCAAGAACTGTCTCAGTTGATGTTGTGTCTTAGGACAAGGAAATTGTTCCACCGCTTCAATTTTCAGGTTGGATGGTGATATTTGATTGTATGAGATTTGATATCCTAGATAAACTATCTTCTCTGTAAGAAAAGAACACTTTTCGATTTTTATTACAATACCATACTCCTGTACAATTTTCAGTACCTTAGGCAATAAATCTAACCCCTCCTCTATAGTCTTTGACGGTATTAAGATGTCGTCCAAATAAGGAACCACATTAAATTTTCTTAAAGGCATAAGGATTTCATTCATAAATTTCTGAAATACCAATGGGGCATTACAAAGCCCAAACGGCATACGAACGTACTCAAAATGCCCTTCAGGTGTTATGAACGCTGTATACTTCATTGAAGCAGGCTCCATCGGTATTTGATGGTAACCTGATGCTAGGTCAAGCGAGGTAAAATACTTGTAATCACTCAAATTATCAATAATTTCTTCGATTAATGGCATTGGAAAATTATTTTTAACAGTTATTTTGTTTAGCGCCCTGTAATCGACAACTAGTCGTTTGTCATTAGTTCCTTTATTGACCAGAAGAGCAGGACTGGCATATGGTGAATTACTTTCACGTATGATTTTAGCCTCCAAAAGTTCCTGTACCTTACCTCTCATGATTTGTTTTTCTATCTCTGCTAATCGATAGGTCTTATGAGTGACTGGTTTGTCATTGACCAACTCTATTTTTAATGAAACAGAGTGTGCCTTCCCCAAATTATTCAAATTCAAAAATATACAACCTTGATATTGAATTAGAATATCCTGCAGAGTCTTATTATCTTGTTCTGACAACACCCCTGTTTTGACATTTTGCAACCACTGTGGCTTTTTGTCCTTTATTTTGAATATCAACTTGTCATCTATACGATAATACATAATAGTATTATTTTCTGTGAAATTTCTCCCAACAAGAACATCATTGTCTACACTTTCATTAGAAACCACATAAAATTTTGTATTAAGTTTCACCTGATCAATTTGGGTCATTACCTCAACAAATTGCGTAACAACAGTCCCTATACCCATAAATCCTGACAATGTTACCTTCTCCCCAAGAGGTTTCAACGTTAACCCTAGCTCCTGCACTATTGCCAATTTTATTAGAGAACAATCACTACCAAAATCCACAAAAGCTTCTATTAAATTCCCATCAAGAAATATTTTTTTGAAAAATTTTGAAGCACTATTCTGACTTTTAATTAATTTGACCTGTTCAATTTTTTGTTTTACTTTTGAAGACTTAGTTGAATTATCCCATCTGCCTGGTTCACTTGAGTTCTTTCGTTTCTTGAAACAATTCACCTCAATATGCCCCTTAATTCTGCAAAAATTGCATATCTTATTTCTATGTTTACAATCATTCCGCTCGTGACCTCTGTTGCCACATGTGGTGCAATTTACATTTTGATGTATCGTACTTGACCGGACTATATTGTCAGATGCTCCCAATCGACCACTTTGATTGATTGACTGTTGCACCTCTGATTTTAACGGTTTGCCCCTACCAGTATAAGTTTTGTTCTTCAGATATGCCGCCAAAATATGAGGATTTCGAATATTTGCTGCCTCCACAGCTGATGTTATATTAACGTCATTTATAGCACCTATAATTAATGATACCTTGTCACAATCTGAAAATCCTACTCGTAACTTATTTATTCTCGCTATGTGTTCAAAACAAAAATCATATAACGAACAACCTTCGCTGGGTCTATGATTTACCATTTCCATCAACAGTTGATAAGCATTACGTGTACTCTGGAATGTATTTTTCAATATATCCTCCCACTGGCCCCAAGCATAACTAGACCACCCCAAGTCACCCTGAATGAAACTGTCATACCAGGTTTTGGCTGTACCCTTGAGTTTATTCAAAGCATGACACTTAATAAGGCTATCAGGCCACTTGTAAATATCTGCATTATATTTGATAACCTCTAACCACTCTGATATGTCATTAATTTTCGGATCAAATTCTGGAATTACCATCGAAATATGTATTCCCTGATCGGCCCTCGTAAAAGTAGAATAATGTTCGCTACTCACGGTTTCCCTTGACTTACACCTGGATCTCTTATGTTTATGCCCATTACTATTGCTAGAACTGCCGGAAGAACTACTGGTTGTTGAAGACGAGGAAGGTTCTCTTCTACTTCGTTTTCTGGATTTCCTTTGCTTTTGCTTTGGCATCTTGTCCAATCTCTGAGCAAACAACAGCCTGCAGAATATTTGCTAAAATTGGGAACCACCGTAAAACACACACTTCTGATGTTGTCTAGGATGGTGAGCCGTTAGTCGATCAATACTACTTGCAGTAATAAATATATATTTCAACCATCTTAAGTAACAAACAAATATAACGTCTTATTGCGCTGCGTTGAATCGGTTGAAAGCCTTGGCGTCTTGGCGTCGTGTCATCTTCCCCCAGCCACCGTCGATCTGCCGGTCAGCAGCGACAGACATAGAGTGGGACTGCATTTGGTATGTAATGTTGCAATTGCTCTTAACAGTTTCTCGAGCTTTTAACACGGGCTCTTCGGGATCTGGAGCGTTACTATTAATGTTTTCAGTGGTATTTGGTTTACTTTGAGATCTGGGGCCCTCATAAACCGCGTTCCGCAGGGGTATTACGTATCCGAATCTTGCGTCATTTTTTGACAGTATACAGTCTTTTTGTGACATTATGTATGTTTTTCTACAAGATGTCAACTTAGCATTAGCTGTTGTACACTTGTTGTGTACTCGTTCCGTAGCTGTACCTGTTGCCTAAACGTCATGACGCTTCAGCGATGGCATTATTGAAGGCATTAGATGTAAGTTGTATACTATAGCTGGAAGGAATCGGCAATACATAAGTGCATAGTGAGGATTTGTGTGCTAATAATCTGTGTTGATGATAATTCCATTGGTGTCTTGTCTCAAATACCCTTACTTCAGATATATGCAAAGCAAAGGATTAGTTTCACATCCGCTTTTCTTATTCAACCTGGAAATTACATAATGCAAATTTGCTCAATTTAAAAAAAGAGAGTGATAGGAAAAGAAAATCCCTGGTTGGTGAAGTATATTAAAACTAACAGGTGAGAAAATATGGTACATGAAAAGTAAAAAAGTTATTACATTTCAAATTAATTTTTATTTCCAGCCATTTAAATTTTATAGAAATTTATTTTACAATGCCAAGTAGCAAGTACAAATCAGCGCCTAGAGGTGAGGCAGAGCGAAAAGGTTTTGTATGTGATGCGTCATTCCTATATTTTCTATGATGTGGCTTAATTACATAAAGCGCGGGTGCGGTGCTGATTTCCCGTAATGCTCCTCAAAGTTTTTGAAAATGCCAAACAAAGAGGGGAAAATCGTAATGAATAATTTTGGACACCACAAATAACCCATCTGGCACAAATAATAGGCATATTTCATGGGCAACACATTGAGTTATAATTTGCTCATATAGCAAATATCACCAATTATATACACATGCAGACCAATACACACAACCATCCGGATCCAGATGTGATCTTGTAGTACTCTGCTACTCAACCACACATCACAGAGGATTACAAACTAGGCATTCTGCAACCAATAAAGCATGATGGGGAACTGACTTGTAGCTTTCAGCATGGTCACTGAGCGTGTCGGGTTGTTGAGTCATTCCTCCATGGTCACTTTTGATGACGCTCATGCCAAGCAAACGCGGAATGTACTTTTTGCACACTATGAACTATCTATACCAGGAATTCCCAACCAGGGGGGCGCGCCTCCCAAGGGGGGCATAGAGAGATGTCAAGGGGGGAGGAAAGCGTTTGCATTTTAGAAAGAAAAAGCAAACAAATAAACTAAAACATTAACAAATAACATTACAATGTAATGTTTAATTTACATGTATAAAATTAGAAATTAAATATCATATTCACTTATTCTGTCAACCGCTGTTTCAAAACACGGCGTCGTCAGTCGCAGTTTATATGTACAAGTTTCGACAAGTCACAGCATGAAATCCGCGCGCACCTCCGCTTAACATTCGTCACTTAGAAAACAATTGTGTACTTACCTACCAGACGTGAATGAGCATCTGTTACATTCATTCCCACAAGCTTGTGAAAAATTTAACGTTTCGATGTACATGTTTTGTTGAGAAATCTGTTTGAGTGTGTCAAATGATTGTCTCACTGTTAAAAGGAAGTTTGTGTATTTACAAACCAGTTACCATTTTTATTTAATTTACCAAGTTGTTAATTGAGTGGAGACGTGTTTATTGATCGGCCATTGGGACTTTTTTACCACATCACAATCAAACCAACGTGGCGAAATAATTTTGAAACGACGAACTTCAAGTACCTATTATTGATTCCAAACGTATTTAAAATTACTATTATAACGTCAACCTGCCTACAAAAATGTAAATCTCCCGGTGGCCAATATACTGTTGCATACATTACGTTATTAATATACAATAATGGGCATACTTATAATTAGTAATTACATGTAGGTATTTTGCTGATCTATTTATTACTTTTTATTTGTTTTATTGTTATGTTAAGTTTGGATATACCTCCATAGAAGAACACGAGTTACAATTGCCTCAGTGTGTGATATGTATAAAAGTTTTAGGTAATGATAGCATGAGGCCCAATCGCCTTGAAGTGCATTTGAAGCAACAAGATCCTACCCTGGTTTTGAAGACGAAAGAGTTTTTTTTTCTAAAGCAGATCACTCAAGCGGATGAGACTGGATAAATCGGAAAGTTATCACACAGGTGTATCACAGCATCTCAAAGCTTCATTTGAAATAGCCTTTAGGATAGCAAAGCACAAGAAACCTCATACTATTGGTGAAGAATTAATAAAACCATGTGTCCTAAAAGCCACGCAGATAATTTTAGGAGAAGGTACAGAGCAAAAAATACAGTCAATCTCTCTTTCGAATAACACAGTCAAGCGTAGAATCAATGATATTGCAGCAGTCATAAAGTCACATATAATTAACAAAGTAAAATTATCGCCATTTTTTGCCATTAGTTGCGATGAATCCACCGACATCATTAATTGTGCACAGTTAATAGTTTATGTTCGTTACATCGACGGAGATATCATTCAAGAAGAGATTTTGAACTCTCAATCTTTGACAGCAGGTACTACATCTGATATACTTAATTCAATATCAAATTTTATTGAAAAAAATGATCAGACCGTGTCAAAAAATAGGTATATATACATATATATCTTAACCTAGCTATTAATACCGTTTGTGATTGACATAAAGTATTAGTTGATCCAAATCGGTATCAAAAATGTCCTCCTCTTTATTGTCCTTTCTCAAATAATTTAAATAAATGAGTCTAATCGACCTTTATCATCAACTATTCTCCTTATTCTTCTTCAAGCCCTGCTGAATTTCCTCCAACGTTTTCCCTTCAGTCTCAGGTACCAGATATACCGCCAAACCTGACGAAACTAGAGAACATATCGTAAACAGCATGAAAGGCGCGTACATTCCATAAGTACTCTTCAAATAATAAAACAGATAATTTACAGAAAACAGCAATGCCCCTAGTTGCATGATAAGTACCGTTAAACCCTTTGCTTTAATACTGGCGGAAAACAGTTCACCAAGCATAAGAGATGGTATGATTGCGACTCCAAACGCAGAAAATATGATATAGCCTGACATACAGGCTAAAGGTACCCATCGCCAGTTGCTTAGATCTGCATCAGGATGAAAATGGAGTATGTATAGGTAAGCTGTAAAAGGTGCTAATGCGAAAGAACAAAGAAGTAATGAATATATTTGGGACTTCTTTCTTCCTAGGAAATGGGAAGTGTAAGATGCTACGATGTTCAAGCTGAAGTTCAAGCCTGTGAAAATGAGTATGGACATGTCAGGACTAACAGTGGTTCTAGATTCCACAAATATCAATTTAGTATAAGAGTAGTAGACAGAAAGTCCGCTGAATTGTTGTGAAATTCTAAGAAACATCCCAGCCAGCAACGCTTTCCTATTAGCACTTATTGTAAACAGTTCTTTCCAGGTGCCTTGTTCTGACATTTGTCTTTTTACATCCGATTGAAGTTGCTTGAAATCATCTTCAATATTAATCTTCCTCCTCAACCATTGTAGTGAGGTCATGGCTTCAACATCTCGTTGCTTCATCAACAAAAAGTACGGAGACTCAGGCATGATCACAAAAGTTATCAAGAATAATATTGGTATAGTCATTCCTATATACGAAGCCTGTTGAACACTACACTTGATGCCGATAATGTTGATTAAAAATTCTCCAAAGTAGTTCATGAGTGTCATTCCGTTGCCCCATACTCCTCGAACTTTTGGTGTCGCAACTTCTCCTAGATACATCGGGAGAACTCCGAAAACTATACTATCAGATACACCTTCAAATGCTCTGGCGATGTAAAAAAGCCAGACGTCTTTAGCTAAGGCCATTAGGAGCCAACAAGTGAAGTATGGAAATGCTGAGATGAGGATCGTTTTCTTTCTTCCAATGATGTCTGCCAGTTTCGAGAATATTGGAATGCTGACCATCATGAAGAAGGGGGGGATGACTGGGAACAGTGAGGTATCATCTTCGGTTATGTCGTAGTTTTCTTTGTCTTCTGTTATGTTTATGATGTACGGAGAGGTCCAGGAAGTCAGCATGCCGGTTGTGAAGGAGCAGAGACATCCTGGAACAAATGAGATATTTTTTTAGTTAACCTTATCCAATTGAGCTGAAATTTTGTACACAGGTTTAGTTTGCGTGACAATACTAAATGAATTGGCTGCCGACATTTTGAATCCAATATGGTGGATAATACAAAATGGCGATTCATCATTTCTATAGAAACCCCTACGATATCGGTGTCAATTGAGAGGGCTTGATGAGAGAAACTCAGTAAGTAAGGTGACGTCATTCTAAATCCTTTATGGCTCACGCCGCAAAATCACGATTGAATTTTCTCATAGTCACCTATAAAAGACTTAATAAGCAGTGACGTCATTCTAGATCAAATATGCCGGCCGCCGCTGAGTGACGATTTATAATTTCCATGGTCACCGCTATGATATGTGTATCAAATGAAAGGTCATACTGAGGAAAAATATCTATATTTCTAAGTTCGATATAGCGATCGCCCCAAAACATTGATTTATCATTATATGGTTTATAACTGTCAAAATTGTATTATATCATTTGAAGTAAGGTTTTATGGAGTCCTATTAAAAAAAACATATGAAAGTCATGTGGAATATACTAAACTAGTTATTTGACATAAATACTGAAGAGTAAAAAATAAATAAACAAAAAAATATGTTTTTAAAAATAAGTTTTAATTTAGCTGTTCAATTAATTAACTACAATTACCAAACGTCAACGTTTCTATCAATCTAAGATTTAGAATTTTCAGAATTTCCGAATGACGGAAGAGTAAACTCTATCGTAACGTATTAGGATTGTGAGGCGTAATAACTTTACATTGGGAGTTCACTTTAACTCAGGATTTAATCAAAAAATTTTTGGCGACCACAGCCACGAATGACTTCATGCTCAAGCCTGCATAGTCATCATCTGAAGCCGCGTACAGACCGAGATTCCAACGCAAGCCAAGGCGCATGTTATAGATTTGGAGCTGTTCGAATCGGTGTGTACGGCGCGAACGAACATAAGCCAACGGTTTCCAATGTCGGCGCTGTCGTTTGATTGCGTTCGCTCCTTGATCGATACATCAAAGGGAGGTTTGATTTTTTCTAGACAGGATTTGTTGCGCTTCTAGTATTTAGTCGTTTATCTGCATTCGATGAGAGGAGATTCATCGCTCGACATTACCACCGAACTTAATCCGACGCGGTCCAACTCGAAACTACATTTTTTAGGTGTACACGATGGGTAGACGAGCGCATTCCAATACCTTCCAACAAGAAACGCCCACATGTGCCTGCATTTGTTTGCTCGGCGTTGGATTTGCGGTCTGTATGCGGCTTGACATTGACCCACGACTGTTAGCTGACATGGAATACAGAATGCGGTGTTGCCAGATCACGTAAAGCATACCTATAACGTATTTTTAAACTCAAAATAACTTGATTTCTCTATTCTTGAACCACCACGAAGGCCAAAGGCCTAAGCACCTATGCGTACCGTGACGCTATAGGGGGAATAAAGGGGAAAGTGGGGATGCCACCCGGATTCTAGCTAGGGAACATGTGTGCATGCAATATACACACATTCTGGCCCTGCCTTAGAGATCCGTCAGGTGGTACCTCCGCGTTCGACAGTCAGAGACTGTCTACCACCTACGAACAATCATAACATCCATAGCCAAGATAAAAATTCTCTTGGGACGGTATTCGAACCCGCTCAGCGTACGGCGACTGATTAGCAACAATTTTTATTAGTGACAATTTATATTTATTTTTCAGAATTGTTCGGCAACTTTCTCGACGGCTCTGATTTTTTTATTTAGCAGATATTTTTATTTACTTCATTTCCCAGGCATCTTATTGACTCTTTAACAGTAGTTTGCGAAGGGAAAAGTCCGAATCTTTCATAAAAGATGTTCAATATGACTACCATTTTCATTCCTGCACATAACAATAGACACGGCGCAAAAGAATATACTTAACTTTCTCTAAGATGTCATTATTTTTTAATGTTTTTTCGGAGTTCTATGATTGTAAAAGTCGGAAGATTTAGTATTAGCCGATTCGGATATCTCTCTTTATATATCAGTCTATTCGTCAAAAGAATATTCCATATTTACGAGACAACAACAACTTAAACAAAAATAACCTCAAACGTCAATTAATTTAAGATTTATGGAGGACAGTCGAAAAATTAACGAGCAAAAATAAGCTCAAGCATTACATATTAATTTAAACTTTATGAAGCTTGTTGTCAAAAATAATCTGACACTGACATAACATCCCACATTTCCGCCAACTAGATGCCTACTATATTTTAACACTAGATGTAAGTAGAAAGTTTCTTAGAAAGCAGCTCCGAAAAACTGTTCATTTCTCGAAAACTGTGCGAGGACCTTTTAAATCCAAAATTAGAGTCGTTGGGATAGTCTCGAAAAAATTCCCTTCTGATTTTTTGCCACAAAAGTCAAATACTAGAACCACATGTGTTCCAAATTTTATTCAAATCAGACTATCGGTTCCAAAAATATCTGGAGAAATGTTTTAAAAAGAAAACTTTGACGCCCTCTAACGGACAAACGAAGCAATTTTGCAATCGACTTATTTTGAGCCTAAAAATCCGTGGTACTTCTATGTACACTGAATATTGGACACCCTGTATAGTTGAATGCTGCGCTATGATAAAATATTCCACCTTACGTAGTTTTATTAAATCTTAGCTTTGGAGAGCATTTTTTAAAGATTTGACGGGTTAGAACTCGATACTTCCATGATGTTCTCTGTAAAATTTTAGAACATAGGTATAGGTGAAGAAAATGTAATAAATTCTTGCGGTAAGGTAGCCCCCATAATATTCATAACTTTTTAGTCAAGTGTATGAGTCTTTTTTTTGAAAATTTCCCATAAATAGCTAAAAATGATTTGACTATTTCTGTCTCAACCTTGGTTTATTTGAACAGCGTTTGATAATGATTTTAAGTTCGTCGTTCTGGTTATCAGATTTAAGAAACTGATTGGAAAACTTTGTAAACAACACACTTGATTGATCATGATATATAGATTCTAACAGCTGCCGTTTCAAACAAAAATTTTTCACCTAGTGAGCCACAAAGGAGATGATATTGTTCTTGTGTGCAATTTCTGCAATATCGCGGAGCGCCAAAGATATTTGCAGTATAGACAACTTCTAAAAAAAAACAAGCAAATGAAATTCGAGCAAAATGTTATCATCTTGCTTTAAGGATTGTTACAACAAGCAGCTTTGAGCTTGTTCGTAGCTTTTTTGGGGCCTACTGAACTTCCTCGTCAGAATCTTGAGCCAATAAAATGAGAACGTAAAATCGCTATTTATAACGTGAAAATGCAAACTTTTCCTCAAATGTCCTCATTCCTTTTATTTTGCAATGCTGTAGGTAGGTATACAATCCTGTTAACAAACCTTAGTTTAGGACTGCACAAAAACAGAAAATGGATGGAAATAGATCAAAATTATCTCACAACTGTCCAGGTAAAAGCCTAACGTTGAGGTACATGCCTTTTAGCAACGCCAATGACAATATATTTTGACACTTCTGTATGAATTATTCAGTTTAAATAGATTTTTTCATTCCCATTCTCGAAAATTGCCTGAAACACTATGACTGGATGGAACCGACGCACTTTTGTGCTGAGTGTTTCAAATTCGACCCAAACGGTAAGCGATGCGGAATCGCTTAAATGTGGGCAAAGCTGCCTACTTAGTAAATTCTGTTTTTTTTCACATAACTGGTCTGGCAATGTCAATGTATGGCACATTATACATTTTTGGACTCAGAATTGAAAACTTTATTCATCTGTGTAAAAAGCCAATATGGCGTCCGTAAGAAAAAATAAAGTTGATGCTGGAGGTCAACAGACGAAAGGACATATTGAAATTCTGATTACGCCATCTTCTAGAGGAGAAACACTGACAATGTTTATTTAAAATCTCGCTATAAACGAAATCAGGAGAAAATTAAAACGACTTTGGGAATATCGGGTTTTTCCGTCTCTCTCCGCAGGTACTTTAAATTTCGAAGCTTTCTAAGCGGCATTCTGTTAATTTCCTGAATACGCAACATTGCTCCCATTTCTTTGTATCTCCTACCGTTTCCGAGATGGGAGGATCGAATTTGAAGGTTTCGCAGAATAATATGAATTTCATGTGAAATGGCAACAACAATCGTCAAACTGGAGGCTTAAGCCTGATCAACTTGTAGTATGAGTTTTCGTCCTGACTACAAGCTATCAGATTTTGGAAACAAATAAATCGTAGACTTGCCCCTTCTACCTAGTCTGAATTCGTTGGATAGAACTTACCTGAGCAGATAGCTAGAATCTGAGGCCATTCTTTCCCTTTCGCACTGTCTCCTCCTGGAAGCAACATCTTCCAATCTTGAAGCAGAGCAGCTGCGACTACCTCCACACACCTAATAACCCAGTATCTGAATGTGAACGATAACGGATCTTCACCAACTTGAAAACGTGTAGTACGCCATTTTTGCAATGGAGGGGGACTGAATTATTTGCGTAATCTGAAATACTATCAAATTACAGATTGAAGATTCATCAGAATCAGTATCAGTACACATATTGTTTTGAAAAGGTTTTATCGGATTTTAGTATTGAATGCGTACAACGTAATAACACGAGACTGCTTGATAAATCTGACACTTCGCTCACTTAGACAGTGTCACTTAGAATTATGTAATATACAATTAATTAGTTGACATCGTTGCTATTAGATTTTTCTTTTGTGTGGGTGGTCAAGCAGAACAAGTTCCGACTAATATCGCGGGGATAGTGGCTTAAACCGTCTTGAGTCATTGCCGCTCTTAACCTCCCCCTCCCCCTTAGTCTACACATTATTGAGCTAGGGCCTAAATTTGGAAGCTACTAGATAGCTGTTTTTCATTGACTGACCCTCCGATTTCATTATTATATTAATAAAAAAATTGAGGAAACACACCACCATTTCCTTTATTTTTAAAAAAAGGCATGGCAATTTTGTATCGGAAAGCTCTGTTCGCCCTTAGGTCAAAACAAAACATGATTTTTTTCATACTTTGGATGCCCTTTGATGGGTAATATGGTGGCTATATTTAAAACTCTATTAACCAAATTTTAATTACGGCAACTTATATACATAGGGCAAAACATAAGTATGTATATACTAGACCAGGTTGCACTATTACCTGACGCTGATCTAGGAACGAAGAAGTTAAGCTGTTCCAAGATGACACTAAAATCAGGTCCGCCGCTATTTGTTGATTTAGCCACCGCATGTACAGTCCTTTCTGTGTCGGTGAATCACTGGAACGGATTCGATAACATCCAATCCGTTGAACGACATCTGCGATTCCAAGTATCAAATCGAATCCAAATCCATTGTACTACATTGTACTACATGGGCATAAGAAAATAAAAAAAATGCAAAAACACTTTACAAAAAAATATTATCTTAGATATAAGTACATACGTATTTATTTCTACAGAAATTGAACTTTTCTTGCCTTTATGTTTGAAAAATCTGCTATCAAGTTTTTCATATCCATGCTGTCTAAAACATCATGTTAAATAGAAACTATAGCTAAATTACTTAGTCTTTGCTTGTGCATTGTTGACTTCAAGAAGTTTTTTAAAAATTATCTTTGAAAAAGACCTTTCACCGGATGCAACTATGACTGGCAAAGTAAGTAATATTCGTAGCGCTGTTGCTGTGTTTGGAAATGCTGAAATTATCTCATTAGTAAGAAGGTATTGTAAAAAAGTATGAGAATCATCAGACTGCTTTTCTGGGAAGTGCAATTTCAAAACACTAATTTCATTAAATAAATCGATACTGTCAATATCATGTTGGCCAGTAGATTCGTCATTAAGCTTTAGATTTAAATTTTTACAATGTATCATTAAGTCATCGTTGCAGTAATTGAATAAGTTATTGTTTGAAAAGCCAAATACGTCAGTAAAAGTTTTTAACTCATCGAGTCTGCCCTTTAGAGAGGCTAGCGTCTGATCTAAGATTCTGAAAAAACACTACTTTGTATGTATTTAATCTTGAGGTCTAGTAACACTTCGACACTGTGTTTATACTGAAATTGGGTTGATCTTTGTCTGAGACGAATCGAGTGCTTATTGCCTTGAAATTTGCTTCTACGTTGAGATCCTGAGCTACAGTAGTAGCCTCTTGTATTGGCTTGGTAAAGTGGTCATCTCTGCAATATTCGGTTAACTTAATAATCAATCTTTCCGACAAATTTGCACTGTTTTGGGGGTTTGCATCATTTTGCTTAAATCATTAATTTCTTTTAAAATACCAAACTAAATTATTACTGAGCAAGTAAATCTATAATTTTGAATGCTCAGCGCAAGCGAATGAGCTTTGTGAGATAGTCCCATTCTGAAGAATTATTATCAGATATTTTCAGCAAAGCATCAAATATTTTTTCTGGATGGTACCGAAATGGTTTGACTGCATCGATTCTGCTCGACCATCGCGTGACACTTAGAGATTTCAACTTGCAATCTGGTAATTGTTCGCAAATTATCGACCACCTCTTTGTAGATGATCAAAAGGGAATGTAAATTTCCTGAATTATATTAAAAACATTCACAGTTTCGTGCGAAATATTAGCTACATCATTGCCGATCAAATTTAGACTATGAGCTGAGCAAGGAACGTAAAATTCATGACTGTTGATTTCCAATTTTTTTTTGTCTCGATACTTTTTTTTCTGCCCCCTTGATAATGCCGCTCTTGTGCGGTACACGCTCTGCACGCCCACACACAGCGGCCTGACTGAAATCTATAATTTCATGAACCAGTTTGTGAAAAAGCAGAAGTGAATATTTTCTGCATCCCATCCTCTTTCTATGAAAGATATTTGAGAAACTGAGTGGACCCTAAGAGGTCAATATAAATTTGATGGTGGGGACGCTAGAACTGGGATGCATTGCATACTTAAGCTTAGGTCTTTCATAGGCATAGTACAGTATCCTCAATGTAAAAGGTCACGAGTATTTCTGACCATGAAGCGATACGCCTTAGTTGTAGTCACACCATTTAGGGAGAAGGGAAATAAGGTTTTCTAACAAATGTAACTCTCAAGTCGTTAATTGTATTAGGTTTGTCAAGTTATCTTTCACCAATACTATATACATACATAATTACCTCCGATTTTAAAGTGGATGACAAATCATGACACTTAGCAGCATTCAAAGTTAAACTGTTTTCACGCCACCAGATGCCAACCCTGACAATGTTGCAATGTAAGCGATGACAATATTTAATGCAGCAGCATTCTACAAAAAAGTTTTATATCGTCTGCATAATGTAAATGCATAACTATGTCGAAGACTTTGGCGAAGTTACTGATAGTTTTCTACAAAATTCCTCCCACCCTTTTTAAAAACAGGAGTTACCCTAAATAGATGGAAAAAGAGTATTTTTCAGAAAGAGATTAGACGAGCCTCTAAAGCAATATGTCCAGCTACCTCTTCACATCATGCTTTTTTGCCAAGTTGATACGCTTAGGCTGTCAAAAACGTGATTCCCTGACACGAAGATATAACTTTTTATCATATTGTATCTATACCGATACACATTTTCTTATCAGTACATTTCCTTATTTGATGTGTAGGTATATTGCTCAACGTGTTTCCAGGATTGAAATGTGTGAAATTTTTCGAGGAAATTTGTTTTTTGTCAACATCCTCAAGACAAAAGGATTTATTATTGCCTTAAATAGAACTGATACGCCTTTAATGTTTATTTAAAGGAGATTGATGATCTTATTCACCTACAATAGAGATCGTTGCTTTAGAGGAGAACACACAGTAATCATTAATTTATTACAACAACTTTTTGCAAACATGTCTCGGGTTAGGTAGGAAGTCCATCAAAATTTCAGAGAAAAATAACCGTTAAAAAACGTAATAAATTAATAATTTGTTGGGCTTCCACGATGAACTCATAAACCCGGCTGGGCATACTCCAAATCAGATGATCACTTTCCTCTCGAGGTATCTCAGGCCAGGTTACTTGTACCTCGTGCCTAAGTGCCATTGATGTCTGTGGATGATGAGGTAAACGGAGTAATATTCTTCGCATAATATCCCATACGTTTTCAATAGGTGATAGATTGGGGGGACAAGGCAACAAATCGTCTTACAGCCGGTGCACACGGGCGTATTTTGACGGTGCGTTAATGCATCGGCGATGTTGCGTCGACGCAGACAATGTTTTTGAGAGAAGTTCACACACACGTCGGGTTTTCAACGGTGCGTTACCGTCGACCGTTGGACGTCGACGTCCTGCGTCGACGTCCTTTGTGAATTGATCCATTTACAGCAATGTATTTCCGAGACGTGCGTATTTTAACGTTGCGTTGCCGTACCGTCCGTTTGCACTGGCTGTTAATTGTCTTGAAAATAGACGAACGTAATTCTGGCAATATGTATTGGCGCATTATTTTGTTGAAAGGTGGATTAGTGAGCGTCCGTATAAAAGGCCCTTATCAAACTCGCTAAGCTGTTGAAAATCATTTCGTCTTCTCACTCTAGGTATAGTGAGCAGCTTAAACCAACGTATTGTTCTGTGATTGTTCTGAGATCAAATGCTAAAATACAACTATCGCTCACTTGCTTTTTTTGTAAGATCACAATATCACAAAAACTACGTTATAGATACTGACGGTTTTGGTATCCTACCCTAACAAACATATACCTAGAAAATTTTCATAACAAATTATTACTGGGAAATTTTTTCTATGAGAGTATATATAGATAAGACCAAAATAACTATATTACATACGAGCCCCTTCCCACTACAGTTGGCCCACTTCAAGATTTGTAATAAAATATGCATTTTCAAACTAAACATGACGAAACTATTTACTTCTAAAACAATTTATTTTCTCAAAAACATTCTAGATACGGTCTAGTAATAAAAAATACATATTTGAAATCACTGAGACCTATAACTAATAGAACATCTGAACAAATAAACAATGTGCGAATAAATGCGCGAAGTTAACAAAGCAACAATTGAGAGATTACCATTGGGTAACACCACCTTTATTTTTTATTACGGCTGAAATTCTTTGCGGCATAGTGTTAACCAAGTTTTGGCAAAAATTTGGTGTAAAACAATCCCATATTTCTTGAAGCTTTTGTCTCAGTTCGGTGATTGTACGAGCAGGATGTTGTCGTAGAACCTTTTTCATCTCGTGCCACAATGTTTGAATAGGTGACAGATCTGGACTGCTAGAAACCCATTTCAAAGTGGTACATTATTTTCTTCCATCCATTTTATAGCCTTTTTTGAGGTATGGCACGCTGCACCATCTTGCTGAAACACAAAATCTTGGCCGGATGTTAAACATTCTTCCATCACTGGTAAAAGCGACTCTTCTAAAATTGCCAAATATTTGTTTGTATCCACATTTCCATCAATAAAATGAAGTTTTCCTACTCCTTTTGATGACATGCTGCCCAAGACCATAGTGGATGCTGGAAATTTCACTTTTCTCTTCAGACAGTCAACATGGAATGCTTCATTTTTTTTTGCGAATAACTCTACTGCGACTGTCACCAACACAAACTTCGAATCGGGCCTCATCACTCCATTGTATTACACACCATTGTTGAGGTGTCCATTGTCTATGTTCTTTAGCCCATCTAAGCAGTGCAGTTAATAGTGGCTTTTCTTTGGCCTATAAACAAGTTGTGCAACTTTAGGGTCTTTACTTCACTTTTTTTTATAAGAAAACTTACCTTGCAAGTGCTAAATCCCAGTTTGTGGGCCTCTCTATGAGTTCTGGACCTCGAAATTCTCCTTCCAACAGCATCACTCCATAGAGCACTTAATTGTAAATAATTGGTACGCCTGTTTTTCACGATTATTCTTCTTAATGCTCTTCGGTCGGCATTTGTGATATTACTTTTTTTCACATATCGTGGCTTAATATTAACTGAACCAGTTACGTTATATCTTCTAACAATATTTCTCACACTGTACCGCGATGTCTAACAAAGATGCAATTTCTGAGTTTGATTTCTCAGTTCTCAGAATTAAATCGTTTAATTATCAGTAACCGAATTTTCTCACTAATAACCTTTTCTCTACCCATTTTGAAAACCTTAACTACCCAAAACTATTTTAAACGTATTCTCACAGCTGTGATTAATAAAAACACTTGTCATGGCTTTTATTTTTCACAGACACCTATGCGTTATAGACTTATTTTGCATTGAAAAGAAAATAGGTTGATATGCTGTAATTGCAACATGTGTTATTTTTATGCTGCAAATTTGATTATGGAGTGATAAAGTTGGTGTTTTCTATTATATATTATCAAAATATACATTGTTAATATTTTAAACCTATAACACCCTGCTACATTTTTATTTGTGTTATAAGATTTCAATAGTTGGGCCAACTGAAGTGGGAAGGGCCTCGTATATATATATGTATATACAAAATATATCACTTACCACGAAAACAGTATTTTCTAGACATTTAACACTGGTTGAGTCTTATTGAGTGCTCTGATCTTTTTTTACTACTGAAATTGTTACTTAATTTTACCCTTCCTTTTCTACTTCACTGCTGATAACTCGGGGAATAATTATCTCTAATAGTAAACTACACTAGCACAAAACTATAATGCCATAGAGCGCAAAAACTGCCTATGATAGTAGCAGCACAAAAATACTAGTGAAGGTCTTCATCACCACCTTTAGGTATATTACGTATGTGGTAAAAATGTTATGATTTTGTAGTGGATTGATTTTTAAGTAAACATACCTGAGGTCGAGATTAAAATGCTATCAGTCGCCGATTCATAAGTGTATCAAAATTAATCTCCTCAGTACATTACATACTACAAAAGTAATGTTTGTCCTATCAGTGGATTCCTAAAAACTAACTGAGTCGTACTTGACACTGATCAGCATCACTCGATTGAACGTAACCATTCATGAATAACGATAACATTTTTAACACGCTTTTATTGGCTTGGACCTGTATGTATAGACAGGGTGTTCATTTGAAAACTTCCCACCACGGATTTATTGAAAACCACTAATTTAAGGGGAAAAACGCAGAACCACATCAAACGATTTGTCAAGGGGGACAACATTTTAACCAAAAACTACTTCACTCTCTTTAACCCTCTGCCCCCCACGGTCATCCCCTTAAAATTTTTAAATAACAAGGGGTTCGAGTAATAGCTTAATTGAAAGGTCTTTCGAAGTCCTTATTTATGTTAATTTGTTTAGAGAGAAAACAGAGGTTCACGAAAATATCAGTTTTTATTTCAATAAGTGTTCAAAATGTTGCCCGTTATTGGCCAAACAATGATATAGGTCATGTCTAAATATTTGACGGACATTTTCAAAAACATGTGGGATACCATGGCAGCTTTCGATGCGTTGACGAAGTTCATCCAAACTTCCAGGTTGGGGAGTAAACACAATAGATTTCAAATGGCCCCATAGGAAAAAGTCTAATGGTGTCAAATCAGGAGATCTAGCAGGTTCTATAGGCCCTCTTTGCCCTATCCATTTATCTGGAAACTCGTCGTCTAGCCATTGCCGAACCGGAAGAACACAGTGAGGAGGAGCGCCGTCTTGCTGGAAATATATTACATCCTCTTCGATTTGGATTTAAATGGTTTCAGTGATAAGCGGATTGATAGTATTTTCCAAGATATACAAATAAATGTCTCCATTCAAATTTCCATTAATGAACAATGGCAATCAGTTTGTTTCCTAAAATGCCTGCCCATACACTATTTTTTTGGGGTACTACAAAAGCATGAGGATTTTCATTGCTCCAATACCTGCAGTTATGCTTACTAACAAATCCATTTAGATAAAATGTCCATTCATTGATCGCTGCAGTCATTTGTTCAGAATACTCAACTCGCCCATCGAAATCATCTTCGGTTAACTCCTGTAATACTTTCATTTTGAATGGATAAAACTTATGGAGTTTAGAAACTGTGTGTACACAGCTAATTTTGCGTAATGAAGTATTAGGATTTACTGTAAAATGACACTAAAACTTCAACTTCAGCGGTTTCATTCAAAACTCTCCGATGATCACGTTTTTTATTTGCATTTTTGTTTTCTATCTGAACAAATTAAGATAAATAAAGATTTTTCTAATTTTCTCGAAATCGAATCGATTGATTTAAAAAATCAAACGTCAAAATGAAAGACTTCGAAATATCTTTCAAGCAAGCTATTACTTGATACCCCTTGTCATTTAAAATTTTTGGTGGTTTTCGATAAATCCGTGGTGGGAAGTCTTCAAATGAATGTATGTATGTATGTATTGGAATATATCAACCTGATTTTCATCAATTTCAAGATGTCTGATTAACTTGAAAATTGTTGCAAGCGTCAAGGACCGATGACAATACAATAACCTTGAAAAAAATCGAAATCGGAATTGAAAAAAAATTGAAATTTGAAAAAAAAATCAAAATCGGAAATGTGGAAAATAATTTGAAGATTTGGTAATTTCGAAAAAAATTTGTGAATTTTGAAAAAAATTTGATTTAAAATAAAATTTGGAAATTTTGTAGTCTAAGAAAATTTAGAACTAAATAGATTTACTGTCAAATATAAAACATAAAAAATTAAAGGTCTTGCATATAACTTACTTTTATTGTCGTTTTGAAACTAAAAATTCAGAAAATAGATTGTAGTTTGAATAAACTAAAAAAAAACCGCTTCAACAGCAAATCGAATTGAATAGCAGAAAATAGTTTAGAAGTATAGGAGAGTTTCTGTTTCTGCAACAGAAAGTGCAACCATCAAGTATAATTAATTTAGAATAACATCAATATAAAAATAATCAAGATATCAAAAAAATCAATTTTAGAAAAAAAAGCGTGGCGTGCAACTAACTATATTTTCATAGTCTTATTCTAATATCTAACCCACGCTTTTTTACTACAATTGCATTTTTTTATCTTATTCCATTTGTTCGATTTGCTATTAAAGTATTTTTTCAGTTTTTCATGCTATGATTTATTACCTCTTAATCATTTTTCAATGTTTCCCTACTTGTACATTACGAAAAGCCATCTTGCGGTCTGTCTGTTTGTCTGCCTTTTCTAATCCCTGGCCATCCTCCGCCAAAATGATAAAAAACTGTTAAAAATGATACAGTGGCTTTTTGATGTTTCCGAAACGCCCGCTTATTTTCAAACAATTTTTCGGAGGTTCGCCGAAAGTTTATATACACGCTAGGTTGTCATAACAATGCACAATAAATTAAATGTCGCTATTTTGAATCCAGTATGGTGATTCCTCGTTTCCATAGTAACCCCGATGATATGGGTATCAAATGAAATGACTTGATGAGAGAAACACAATAAAGCTATAAAAAAGAGCGGGATCTCTTCCATTGAGGCATCTAAACAAAAAAAGTTAGAAGTTCGAAGATCAAAGGCTAAGGCCCGTATCGTCAGTCGTCCCTAGAATTGTAGGGCACGTTTATGGCCTCCTAGATTGTCATACTCCTTTCTCTCCTTCAAAAAATTCTAGATTACACTTGTCCCGTGTCAGCGTCAGCGCTCTCCTATTATGAAGATATGTTTTCTTTTTAAATTGTAGGAAATTTGAGGCTGATAAAACATGACATAACTCAAAAGCAAGCACAATTTGATGCAAATAGATGTTTGTGACATAACCTCAAAATAGAGCGCTGTCACGGAGAAGTAGAAAACTTTGACCATCAAGGAGGCCATAAACGTGCCCTACAATTGTAGGGACGACTGACGATAATTGGCGAGTGGCTCTTCTAGTGGTAACTATGTATTTTTTGATGAAGCCAAGTCAGCATTTCTGTTGCTTACCACCAAAACGAGATAAATTTTCGTAATCTCCGACTTATAACTTGGAAACCCCACTTTTTTCACACTAACGTAGACCCCCTGAGGGTCGACTTGAAACATTGGGAATCACTGGTATAGAGTAAAATCCTAGGGCTGACAGACATAACTTATTCTATGAAAGACAAAATGTGTGGCATAATAGACTTTCAACGTCTGCGTACCTGCTAACTTAGTTGGACTGCCGATTTACTGGTACCAGGTGGGGAAGGTCAAGTAAAAATAAATGACAGTTAAAAAAAAACAAAAAAAAAACACGCATTTATAGCCAACCGAACTAAAAAGTAGAAAATAAAATTTATATTACAGTAGCCACGCTTTTTACTCTGATTTGAATTATTCTGTTAATAACCTAAATTTTATTATAATTTTATTTTGAGGTCATTAATTATGATTAATTGTTCGACCATCTACTACTGTAATATAAACTCTTTGCAATTAAAAATTATTTTCTACTTTTCAGTTCGGTCAGCTATAAAAGTGTGTTTCTTAGTTTTTTGTAAACTATCATTCGTTCTTCATTTTTTAGTTCGATTTATAAATTAGTTTTTTGTGGACATGTGGTAATGTCTTACGAATGATTTCGTAATCTAATCATTTCATTTAAAGCTTCACCGTTGCATGGGGTTTTTCTTGTTAACTTAGAGCAATCAAGTTCTTCAATCCGAATAAGCTTGTCCAGCAGCAAACAGTCGAGAGCCTAAATGAATGACTGCATGATCAACTGTACAACGTTGCATCTTGTGGACGATCTAAGCTCAAATCAGGATGAATGACAACATTCGCAATGAATAAGGTGAGTATGCACTAGCTTGTGCTGTGCCGAGTGCCCGAACCAACAAAGAGTTGCCAGCTCCAAGCATGCGCATATCGCGGGCTAGTCTATTCTTATTCTTATTCTTATTCCCCTACAGAGGATCTATAAAAGAATGTATCAATCCTGGCGGTACTGATAAGACTAATGGAAAACTGTTATCAAATTATTGCATTGTCATCGGTCCTTGATACGTGTGCGAAGTTTCCGATTAATCAAACTTCTGGGAATTGGTGAAAATTATGCTCAAAGATTCCGTTACATGCATACATACATACATACATACAGGCCAAGCTAATAAAAGCGTGTTAAAAAGATTAAAAGAAGGTATACCGCAATCTGCCTCTTGTGAGTGTTGAACTCGCGACCCCTGGCCTTCAAGACCAGAGCTTTGCTACTGAACTTCAGAGCCTTGTAGTTTCAGAATTCGCTAAGCGGCATTTGAAGTCCGTGGCTTTTTATTAACATATCTGCTTTTTACAGAATTTTACTCATAAGGATAATGGATAACTGTTATCAGATTATTGCAATGTCATCGGTCCTCGATACGTGTGCGAAGATTCAAATTAATCAAACTTCTGAAAATTGGCGAAAATTATGGTCAAGGATTCCGATATATACACATATACTAAGTGACATATAAATCCGAACACCCAGTTTAAATGGTTAAATTTTGTATAAGTACTTAATGAAGCATAATAAGTAAATGATAAAAATTTCAAAATGATTGCACTGCTTTAAAGCCCTTTGATCTTTAATAATGTGTGGATGCACCCTGATGTGCTACGCATTCTCAAACGCGCCTAGGCATGCTTCTGATCAGGTGGTCAATGTCCTCCTGTGGTATCTCATTCCAGGCAACCACCAACTCCTCTCGAAGTGCTTCTAGAGTCTGAGGAGGACGTTGCAAATTGAGCAATCTCCTACCCATCATATCCCACACGTGCTCAATTGGGGATAAGTCAGGAGATCTTGGTGGCCATGGTAACAATGTGACATCATTATGTTGAAAGAAGTCTATTGTGACTCTTGCAACATGTGGTCGGGCATTATCTTGTTGGAAAGTTGGATCTGCCAGGGTGTCAAGATAGGGTAAAAGATGGGGTTCTAGAACTTCGTGGATATAACGCTGCGCGTTCATGTTACCTCTGATGAAGATTAAAGGTGACCTGGAACCATAAGCTATAGCACCCCAAACCATAACTGCAACAGTGTGATGAACATGTCTT